AAAATGGAAGGAAAAAGGAAGAGGGGCCGACCAAGGGCAAGATGGATCGATGGCATCCTTGAAGTGACTGGATTAACCTTGAAGGCGCTGGGGGTGGTGACGGCTGACAGGGAGCTCTGGTGTGGGCTGGTCCATGAAGTCACGAAGCGTCGGAAACGACTGAACAAATGAACAACAACAATAATAACAATATAATAATTATAATATAATTATAATTTAATAACCTACCTAACAGGCAGCAGCTAGATTGCTCACAGGAGCATCATACAGGGAGCATACCACCCCCCTGTTATGTCAGCAACACTGGCTACCGGTTCAATTCCGAGCACAATTCAAAGTGCTGGTCTTGACCTATAAAGCCCTATGCGGTTTTGCCCAGCGTACCTGTCCGAATGTATCTCCCTCTATGTCCCACCTTGGAGTTTAAGATCTCACCCCGCCTCTGTTGCAAACGCGCTTGGCAGGCACGAAGGACAGGGCCTTCTCAGTGGTGGCCCCCCACCTGTGGAATTCGCTCCCCAGCGAAATTAGGTTATCCACATCCTTCCTTTCCTTCAGAAATAAGTTAAAAACATGGTTGTGGGACCAGGCCTTCGGGTAACATACTGACAATGACAATGGTAATGATAACAATTCGCTATGGAAATGGACTATGGACAAGTTTCTGATAGAGTCTCTGGTCACAGAATTCGGCTTAGATTAGGCCACCAGAATGTAATATTTTAAACAGTTTTTTTAAAAAAATGAATTGATTTAATGTTTTATTTATATGTAATTATTGTGTTTTTATTATGTGTATATAGGGGCATCGAATTGTTGCCGGCTGTAAGCCGCCCTGAGTCCCCTCCTGGAGGTTGAGAAGGGCGGGGTACAAATATTTGAAATAAAATAAATACCCTATAATAACAATATAATAATATAATATATATATATATAAAATATTGCCTTAGGAGCTCTTTTTCCCCTTCATCCCTGAGCTCACTCTTGGGACATGGAGAACAACAATGAATAATAATAATAATAATAATAATAATAATAATAATAATAATAACAACAACAGGAATCCATTCACCAAAACATTACCTCAGGAGCTTTTTTTTTCAACCTCAATCCCTGAGCACACTCTTGGGAGATGGAGGAGAACAACAATAAAGGATTATTATTATGATTATTATTATTTATGAGGATTTAAAGATCAAACTGCAAAGACTCTGGCACAAGCCAGTAAAGGTGTCCCAGTGGTGATTGGCACACTGGGTGCAGTGCCTAAAACCTTGGCCTGCATTTAATAATAATAATAATAATAATAATAATAGGAATCCATTAACCAAAATGTTACCTCAGGAGCTCTTTTTCACCCTCATCCGTGTACACAATCTTGAGACATGGAGAACAACAATAAATATTAATGATTATTATAAATTTTTTTGTGTCAGGAGTGACTTGAGAAACTGCAAGTCACTTCTGGTGTGAGAAAATTGGCCATCTGCAAGGACACTGCCTAGGGAATGCCCAGAAATCTTGATGTTTTACCATCCATGTGGAAGGCTTCTCTTATGTCCCCCCATGGGGAGCTGTAACTGACAGAGAGAGCTCATCCACACTCTCCCCGGATTCAACCCTCTGACCTGTCAGTCTTGTCCTGCCAGCACAAGGGTTTAAACCATTGTGCCACCTGGGGCTCCTCATGATAATAATATTAACAATAAAGGAATCCATTCACCAAAACATTACCTCAGGAGCTCCTTTTCCCCTCCATCCCTGCACACAATCTTGGGACATGAAGGAAAACAACAACAACAAT